CGCGAAAAAATTGTATATCAAAAAATATTCTTATTTTCATTATATTCTTATCTACTTTTTTCCTAACTTATATCAATTTTGGTTGTGGAAAATAACTAACGCTCTAAAAATTAGAAAAAAAAAACAGTAAAATATTAAGGTAATTTTTTTTGTAATATTCAATTTTTTTTAGCTAATTTTATCTAGATTTAATTTTTGTATATTCTTTAAATCTTTTCTTTGAGTATTGTTATTTTATTATCTCTAGTTTTTTATAGCTTTATTTTGACGTAAATTCTTCAAACACCAACTATATAAAAAAACACGGTCATGTTGCCTAGAAAAATTACTATAAGTGAGGCCGAACAAAGCGTGTGATCGCATGCGCTTTCCGGGAAGACTTGCATATATATATATATATATATATATATATATATATATATATATATATATATATATATATATATATTTTAATTATCTTCGCTTCCAACAAGGTTGCAAGCAACCACTTATTGGTGTTGGAAGTTACTGGAATAGAAAAGATGAAGATTATAGAGCAAGATAACGATTGACAGACGACTTAAAAGATTGCAAATTATATGAATCAGGAAAGCAAGATGAAGGTAGCGAATTCCAAAGAACTGATGTTCGAGGAAAAAAACTAAACAAATAAGAGTTTTTGGAGCACTTAGGAACAGTAACAGAAAAAGGATGAGACTTAATTGAATGACGAGTAACACGAGAATGAATTTTAGTAGATGGCACAAGAGACGCTAGCTCTTTAGAGCAGTGCCCATTATAGTATTTGTAGAAAAGAGAAAGAGAAGCAACATTACGACGGTGTGACAGAGGTTGAAGGTTGGCTGCAAGAGCAGGTCCAACTATGTTTACAATGCGTTTTTGCACCTTGTCTAAAAGAGAAAAGGCATCATTAGAAGATCCGCCCCAGATATGGCAACAGTATTCCATACAAGGCCGGCTTTGAGATTTATAGAGATAGAGAATAGAATCCAGAGTAAGAAAGTGACGAGCTCGATAAAGAGAAGCAACTTTAGCAGATGCTAATTTTGCAACGGATTTGATATAAGGTTTCCAAGAAAGATCAGAAGTAAGAGTTTATCCTAGAAGATGAAGGGTAGGAGACTCATCGAGTACATTACCGTTCATAAATATAGGAAGGTCTAAATTATTGTGATAACGATTGGCCGAATAAAATTGAGTTTTATCTGAATTAAAGTTCACCAGCCACTGCGAGCCCCATGCTGTAGCAGAAGTGAGATCCTTTTCGAGCTCAGATGCTCCCTGCAAGCAATCAGAGGGAGTTGGCTTCTTATCGTGACAAGAATAAATGGTAGTATCATCAGTGAACAATGCCACCTTAGATGTGAGAATACCTGGAAGATCGTTAATGTAAATTAAAAAGAGTATAGGGCCAAGGATTGAACCTTGGGGAACCCCTGAGGTTACAGAATAAGAAGAAGAGTGCTGTCCATCAAGGACAACTTTTATACTACGATTGGAAAGAAAGGATTCAATAATCTTAAAGATGTTTCCAGATACACCATAAGAAGAAAACTTATGGAGGAGACCAGCATGCCAAACTTTATCAAACGCTTTAGAAATGTCAAGAGCAATGGCCTTAACCTCTCCACCTTTATCTAATGCGCAATAAAACCTATCGGTTATTACTGATAGCAAATCAGCCGTAGAACGAGAAGATCGAAATCCATACTGATGATCAGAAAGTAGGTTATGAGATTCGAGATGAGAGATTAAGTGTTTGTTAACTAAAGATTCAAAAACCTTGCTTATGATAGGAAGAAGACTAATGGGACGGTAGTTAGATGAGCCAGATCGCTCTCCAGAATTTTTAAAAATAGGGATAACAGATGCTGCTTTCCAGCAGGCTGGAAAACAAGACTCTGATAAGCACTTGTTGAATAGTTTTGAAAATATAGACGACAGCTCCGGAGAACACTTCTGCAAGACTATAACAGATATGTTGTCCAGGCCGCAAGCTGTAGAAGAGTCTAAGCGGGAAATCACTTTAGATACAGAAGCTGGAGTGATACGAATGCCGAGCAATGGATCAACCTGTTTGACGGGTATATCAGGTAAAACGCAACTAGTGGCATCAAGAGATGATATTGATGAAAAGTTCTTGGCAAACAATTCAATTTTGTCTTTAGGTGAGGTGACAAAGTCTGAACCGTACAAAAGAGGTGGAATTACAGACTTGCCCTTATTATTGATACTATTAAAGATTCTCCAGAAGTCACAAGAGCCTAATTTTTGTGATGAAATTCGAGATTTCATGATCTGAGAATAGTGGGTTTTGGCGTTAGACAAAACCTTTTTACAATGGTTCCTAGCAGTAATAAAGAGACGTCTGTTTTCTGGAGAATTGTTTTGCTGATAGATATGGAAGTAATGGTTTCGATTGGCATTTGCAGCAGCACAATGTGAAGAAAACCATGGAGAAGAGTGAGGCTTGACCTGGAATCGTCGAGAGGGAATAAAGGATTCCATGCCAGCCTGAATCCACGAAGTTATGTAAGAAGCACACTTGTCAACAGAGAGACGAAAGATTTCTACCCAGGGGCCATCACGAAGAAAGTCACGAAAAGAGTCCCAGTCAGCTTTAAGGTAGTTGTAAGATGTACGATAATAGGGGGATTCTAATGGTGAAGAAGAATGAGATAATAGTTTTAGAGAGACCAAACCATGATCAGACGCACCTAAGGGTGAGTGTGAAGAAACTGAGCACTGGCTAGGATCAGAAACAAGACATAAGTCGAGTAGAGAAGGTAAATGATTCGGGTTGTCTGGAAAGCGAGTTGGAAAGTTGACTATTTGAGTTAGGGATTGAGAAAGACAAAAGTTGTGGGCCTTAATGCCTGCAGAGTCACTGACACTAGAGCCAAGCCATTCAGTGTGATGAACATTAAAGTCACCGACAACAACAATATTGGCTGATGGATAAAGAATGAGGGCTTGGTCAATATAATCAGAAATAACATCAAGAAGAGTGCAGTCTTGGGATGAGGGAGAGCGATATAGAACAAAGAGAAAGGTGATAGAGTGAAGTGGTGCTAAACGAAAGCACATAAAAGAGTAGTCTGTGGATTCAAACCTAGTTTCCCGACAAATGGGTGAATTCTTACGAATGTAAATGCCCAGGCCAAGCATGTGACTATTGGAGTCTTTACGAATTAAAGGAAGATAACCATCAACACTAAGATCACAAGACGAGACAGCTGAACTCAAATTAGTCTCACAAAGAGCAAGCAGGTCTGGTGAACTTTGCAAGAGATAAAATTCAACAGAAGAAAAGGGGTAAACAGATTCTATCTGTTGACCAGCCTCGCACCCCTTCGTCATCTATTAGGCTGGCGCAGATGTATTTTTGATACATTGTTTCCAGTTTAGGATGTTGAATTCTGGATCTTCTTGACTCGATTCATGGGTTTTGCTTGTGTCTCTGTTTTTATGACTAGGCAACTCATTCTATTATCTCCAAATGAGGGTACAGCTCTAAAACTCAGTTTTATGGTTCTGAGGCCGGCTGGTAGTCAGGTTTCCCGAACTCTGTGGTAGCTCTCAGAGAGGCTGATTCCATCAACAGCTGAAAAATATCAGAGTACTAACAGTGCCATGTTGCGCATGGATGGTGTCCCTGTTTGTACTTTTGAAGTGCATTGCCAAGGTGTGTGGAAATTTGTCAACTTTGTGTGTGTGGAAATTTGTCAACTTTGAAAAAGCAAATTATCAACTAAATTAACTACGGACTTCCTACTAACCAACTTAAAGTCGATTTAGTTAAGGAAAAATCTTAAAATAAATCTTTTTCTTCAATTTAACTTTTCAACCTTTAACTTTTGTTTGTTCATTTAATAACAATTATATGTTATTAAAGGGACAAAAAACACTAAATACATAAATTATCATTAGTCTAGTCAATGTTTATTGCAGTCACTGAGTAAGTCATGGTTTTGTAAAATCTCTTAAAAAATTTTCTAAACTGTGCAGCTCATGATATTGTCCTTTTAATAAATGTTTAAAATTAATGAAGGTTTAACATCATTTTTTGTTTTTTTTTGAAGTTTTGGTTTTGTTTTTTTTGCCTATGTAAAATACAACTCTTTTAAGGAAGTATATTTTAATTAAATTTAACTACGAGAAAAGTTTGAGATTATATTTTAGTTGATTGATGTCTATTTAGTATATAATGTTGATGATGAAAAAGCTAAAAGTAAGCTTAAATATTATAAATATTTTTATAAGTAGAGTAGAAGCTTTAGGTTTTATATGACTTTTGTCTAAAACATAAGATTTAATTTGTAACATAAGTTTAATTTATTAAATTTATAAGAGAATTAAGTCTTTTTCAGAAATATAGGAACTATAGAAATATAGGAATGAATCATACTATGATTAGTATTAATTAAAAATAAACTCAACAAAAATTACTTTCTTGACTACTTTTTTTATTCCTCTCTTAACTTAAATACTTTTTAACCTCTTGAGAGGTTAAAAAGTGTTTAAGTGCTGATCAAATTGTGACTGATGACCTAAATAAAAAATAAAAAAATTCTGTTGACTTCTATAAAAGCTTAACTTCCTTTAACAACATATTTAAAATTAAAAATTGAAAACTGATTGTGTAACTATTTTTGACTATGAAATTTATATCTCAAAGATAGTTTAAAAAAAGTTTAGTACACCAGACACCATAATGTGCTCTTCAAAATAATTATATTATTGCAGAAGTTTTGATAGACATTTTTGGTGGTAAATGGGTTATTATTTTTTGAATTCAGTTTGCTTCATCAGATTCTTATTTACCTTTTATTCCAAAATGTTGATTAATAAAAGTCAGAGTCAAACATTTGAACTATTTTATTATCTAAAAAATTATTTTACAATTATTTGATTATTTAAAAAAATCATTAATAAATTCTAACGATTGTCAAAAAAAAATTTTTTTGCCAAACAGAAACCTAGAGAAAAAATTTAATTACCTGGACTAGAATCTCGTTCAAAAATAATATAATCTCGATTTGCTTTTTGTAAGAAATAACCCATTTGCAAACCTGAAAAGAATATTTAAAAAAATAGTAGTAAATAAATATAACTATTATACAGTGAGTATACATATGTATGTATATATATATATATATATATTTATATATATATATATATATATATATATATATATATACATATATATATATATATATATATATATAAATATATATATATATACATATATATATATATAAAATATATATATATATACATATATATATATATAAAATATATATATATATACATATATATATATATATATATATATATATATATATATAAAACTCTTAATAATAAATGTATATATATAAATATATATATATATATATATATATATATATATATATATATACATATACATATATAATAATATATATATATATAACTCTTATATATATATATATATATATATATATATATATACATTTATAATAATATATATATACATATATATATATATATATATATATATATATATATATATATATATATATATATATATATATGTATATTATATATATATATATATATATATATATTTATATATATATATATATGTTATGATAATATGAAATATGGAGAATATATATAAATATATATGTTTTGTATGATATTCTATATACTTTATGTATTGTGTTATTTTGTTATAGACTAGTATAATTATAGCTCTTTTGAGCCAACATAATTAATATGGTTATTCTTTACAATCAAAAGAGCTAGAATATTATTATGAAATAAAAGAAAGATTGATTGATTCATGAAACCTGACAGACTTGGTATAGATCCAAACTCAGCAGATGCAGCAAAAACATACAACCATTGGTTAAGAACATTTAACAATTTTGTAAGTACAGTAGATAATAACTTCATTAAGCTTAATCTCCTAATAAACCATATTGAACCTAATATATATGAATTCATATCAGAATGTGATGATTTTGAACAAGCAACAAGTATTCTCAAGTCTATCTACATAAAACCAAAGAATGAAATATTTGCCAGACACATTTTGTCAACACGGAAGCAAAAACACGGAAGCAAAGATCAATTCCTCAATGAACTTAAAAATTTATCTAAGGACTGTAAGTTCACTGCTGTTACAGCTGAGCAATATAAATCTGAAATGATTCGCGATGCGTTTATAAATGGCTTACTCTCCAATAGTATGCGCCAACGTTTACTAGAAAACAAAATATTTGACCTTTCATCAGCCTTTGACCAAGCTAGATCTTTAGACATGGCCCAACAAAACTCAAACTTATACTCACAATTGACTATACCTACCTCTGCCTTTATTCAGGAAATCAAATCACCTTTACAAAAACAGTCCATGACTGATATTATCACTTAGCTGCTACAGCAAAATCAAAACAATTGTGCTGGTTTTGTGGAAACATAAGACATCCACGTACTAAATGTCCTGCTCGCGAAGCTATCTGTCACAAATGTAAAAAGATTGGTCATTTTGAAAAACTTTGCAGATCATCTAATGTTTCTGCTGCTATTCCTAAAATTGATGATGATTACTTCTGTGCCACCATATAAGCTTCAGCAAACTCTCTATTCAGAGTTTGTCATAACATCATTATTAATGATAGATATAAAGCAGAAGCATTAATTGATAGTGGAAGTACAAACAAAAGTTTTATAAGCAACAAACTAGTGACTCTACTCCATTTAAATATTATTTATGAACAGAGTGTAATTGGAATGGCATCAGCTGCCTTATCTGCAAAATCAGATGGATATTGTTATGTCTCAATAACTCTTCAAAACAAAATCTATAACAAAGTCAAGTTGCATGTGCTGAATAACTTATGTGTAGATGTTATTCTTGGCACAGATTTTCAAGAGTTGCATGAAAGTATTACCATCAAGTATGGTGGGAAAAGACCACCCATAACATTTGCTGCTTTAATAACAATGAAAACTGAACCTCCTGAATTATTTGCTAATCTCACGCAAGATTGTCGACCGATTGCCACTAGATCTAGAAATTATTCTCAAAGAGATAAAGAATTTATTAAATCTGAAATCCATCGCCTGACTCAAGCAGCAATAATAGAGCCTAGTAATTCACCTTGGCGTGCCCAGGTCTTAGTAGTAAATGAAAAGACTAAGCGTCGCATGGTTGTTGATTACTCTGAAACTATTAATAAATATACTCAATTAGATGCATATCCTCTACCTAAGATTGAAACGATTGTGAATATAACTTCTAAATACAAAATTTATAGTACTCTCGACCTTCGCTCAGCATACTACCAAATCCCTTTATCAAAAAAAGATCGACCATATACTGCTTTTGAAGCTGACAATAAGTTGTGGCAATATACTAGAATGTCTTTTGGAGTTACCAATGGATCTGCATGCTTTCAACGCAAAATAGATGACTTTGTTAGAAAATATAAACTAACTGACTGCTTTCCTTTCATTGATAACATTACAATATGCGGTAATAGTCAGAAAGAACATGATGAAAATCTACTTAAGTTTAGATTAGCTGCCATTGATGCTGAAATTACATTTAATGAAGAGAAGTGTGTATTTTCAACTAAGACTTTAGATTTTTTAGGTTACCGTATATCGTATGGCTCTTTAAAACCAGATCCTCAGAGACTTGCTCCTCTCATCAAGTTACCCCCACCTGATAATGCAAAGTCTTTACAGCGAATTATTGGAATGTTTTCGTACTATGCAAAATGGATAAGAAAGTTTTCAGATAAAATTAGACCTTTAAACTCTGTTACTCAATTTCCACTCAATCAGCAGCAAATATCAGCATTTGAAACATTAAAAAATGAACTTGTTCAATCTTCCATGCAAACCATTGATGAGAATATACCTTTTACTGTGGAGACTGATGCTTCTGATTTTGCCATATCCGCCACACTTAATCAGGATGGAAGACCTGTTGCCTTCCATTCATGTACCCTTCAAGGGAGTGAACAATACTATTCATCAGTGGAGAAAGAAGCTCAAGCGATAGTTGAAGCCATAAATCATTGGCGTCATTTTCTTTTGGGTCGACATTTCATTCTCATCACTGACCAACGATCTGTGGCGTATATGTATGATTATAAATCAAGCAGTAAAATAAAGAATGATAAAATAATGCGTTGGAGAATAGCTTTGTCTCCATATTCTTATGATATCCATTATCGTCCTGGCCAATGTAATAGTGGTCCAGATACATTTACTCGAGTTAAATGTGCAGCAATAAGTTCAGAAACTTTATATAATTTGCATGCTGCACTTTGCCATCCTGGTGTTACTCGCTTCCATCATTTTATTCGATCAAGAAACCTCCCTTATTCAGTAGAAGATGTAAAACAAATATGTAGGGATTGTAGAATACGAAGAGAAATAAAACCCAAGTGATGTGCACCTGATTAAGGCGACTCAGCCATTCGAACGTATATCTATTGACTTCAAAGGCCCATTACCTTCTTCAACCCCTGAACAGTATATGCTAACAATTGTAGACGAATACTCACGTTTTCCATTTGCTTATCCTGTGAAAGATATGACAACTCAGACAATAATAAACTGTTTAGCTGATCTTTTTTCAATGTTTGGTATGCCTAGCTTAATCCTCATTAATATTTTCTGAATTAAAGCACTGGTTCTTATCAAAAGGGATCGCAACTAGTAGAACAACCCCTTACAATCCGACTGGAAATGGGCAAGTTGAAAGATACAATGGAATTATTTGGAAGGCGATATTACTTACTCTGAAATCTCGAAATCTGCCTATATCATCATGGAAAAGAGTTTTGCCTGATGCACTTCATGCTACAAGATCTCTATTATGTACTTCTACTAATTGTAGTCCACATGAACGTTTTTTTAATTTTCAAAGAAGATCATCATCTGGGTCTTCAATTCCTTCATGGCTTGTTAACCCTGGACCTGTACTTATAAAAAGAAATGCAATGCAAAGTAAATATGAAGATTCAGTAAATGAAGCTCAGCTCATTGAAGCAAATCCTCATTATGCCATTGTGAGATTTCCTAATGGTCACGAGACTACAGTGTCTACAAAACAACTGGCTCCTATCGGAACAACTCCTATAGTACAAACATCAAATGACAATTTAGAAATAACAGCTATTGATAACTACCCCTTAACCCCTAATGGTAGCAATGAAACTCCGTTAGTCTCCGAAGAGGAACTAGAAAGCAGAGGGAAACCTATAGAGCAAAGTACTCTGCCTCCTCGTAGATCTTCACAAATTTCTAAAGCACCAGAAAAACTCAACTTATAAATACACCTGAACACTTTTAAGAGGAGGGTGAATGTTATGATAATATGAAATATGGAGAATATATATAAATATATATGTTTTGTATGATATTCCATATACTTTATGTATTGTGTTATTTTATTATAGACTAGTATAATTATAGCTCTTTTGAGCCAACATAATTAATATGGTTATTCTTTACAATATATATATATATATATATATATATATATATATATATATATATATATATATATATATATATATATATATATATATATATATATATATATATATACATATATATATACATATATATATATATATATATATAATATATATATATATATATATATATATATATATATATATACTTACTAAAGCGTGTTTTGATAAGCATTTGCTCACTTTTTCTGCTTACCTTAAGCTATACCGTTTTTTTCAAAAAAGAAGAAAAAAAAACGAAGAATGATGAATGAAAGGATTGCTTCCCCATCCCAACTTTCAGTTGATGTAGCAGCACTCCATTGCAAGTCAGGCTATTTGTCAGTCGATGTATGTACTGAAGCTCCCAGCAGCAGGCTATTTCAGTATGACGTCAGACCTTAGTACTATTTGTATATATATATATATACATACATATATATATATATATATATATATATATATATATATATATATATATATATATATATATATATATATATATATATATATATATATATATATATATATATATGTATATGAAACTCTTAGAATTGGAAATTGCTGGCATTGAACTTAAAATGTATTCTTGTATATTTTTATTTAACTCAAAATATTTTCAAAACTGAATTTACTGTTTCCAGCAAAAAGTTATGAGTTAAAAATGATGAACTATTAGGTTGAATGAAATTTGCCAGTTATTTGCTTGGTAAAGAAACAACTTGACATTTATTAATTATTCCTAAACTGACCTTGCAACCAACCTTTGCTATAACTCAGACTATTTAAAAGGAAATTCAAAAATAAGTTAAAAAACAATATAAATTGGCCAGCAGCTTTGCAGCAAATTATTTGTAACAGCATGTTGACACAAAAAAACAGAAAAATATAGACATACCAAGATGCGAAGAGGAGTGTATCAATAAATATGAAGTATTTAAAAGATTGACAACAAAAAAGCAGCAAAGCAATCAAGGTAAGCTTAAGTTTTATGATGAGCAGCAGATAAATCAATTAACAACAGGGACTCCAACAACAATAACAACAGTAAACCAAGTAAAAAAAAAAAAGTAAAAACCATGTGTAAAAAGAGCAAATGTTTTTAGCAAAGTTTTAGCAAGTCAAAATAGTAAATGACATCAGTGCAAAAATTCAAAATGCAAGTTTTGGCATTACTAAATATGCATTCCAAAGCAATTGAGTTTTATTGCAGCACAAGTGACAACTCAAATCAACCTTCAAAACTCTTTTTTAAAATTTTAAAAAATTTAACATCATCGCATAAATAAAAATGGTTTTATCATAAATTGGTTGTTCTTTTAAATGTTATTATTGATTGTTTTTTTAATTGTTATCATCAGTTGCATTTTTTAATTATATATTTGCTTAATTACCCATCAATTTGCATATTTTATTGCCCTTAATTATGAGGGCAGAATGAAATAGTTTGTTTTTTTCCAATTAAATGAAGTTTTTTTTAAAAACTTTTTCAAAATATTATTTGATTTTTATATATTTATTTTTAAATACATTTCAAAATTCTCTACAACTTAAAAAAGTTGAAAATTTTTTGTGACTGTCTTTTATGTTAAACTATACAATAATTATATACACTTATATTTATTATAAAAATGAAATTTATTTATTGAGGAAATATTTGTATGTGCATGCATTTTTCTATGATAAAAAATAATCAAGAATTTACCAGATGGCCCAGCACCAATAACGCAATATTCTGTTACATTGCATGAAACCAAATTAAAGAAAATAAAGACAGCACACAAAAGAATGCTTGCCATAATTCTAAAAATATTAAAGAATAAATGAAAACAGTAGCTCTTCAAACGTACAACTAAATTTTTTACTCTTAATATTTTTTTAAATCATTAAAAAAAAAAAAAAAAAAGCTTTCTAAGACTTAGAAAGTGAAAAATTAAAACTTAGACTAAGTTTCACTTTTTATAATATAAATCAATATAAATTATATTGATGATATAAATTTAATATTTAATAATGGTGAAATACTTGTATTTAACAAGAACTTACCAAAAATACTTAGGTGTGACAATCACAGTAAAGTCTGTGAGTTTCTTTATGCATAATTTATCATATAAAATAAGTTACAATTCGTTTAAGTATTGTTTAACTTGTTTATACACAATAATTCAGATATGCTTATTTTTTGTATTTGTTTTTATTTACTTTCGTACGCAGCTCACTAAATCTGTATGATTTTTTAGATCGGTTTCTTTCGATTTAAGGTTCAGAAGATTTTTCCAAATCGTGCAAACGTCTTTAAAAAGTTAACGTTTCTTAAAAAGTAACCTTTTCCGTTTAAATTTACATTGCTGATTGTATGACTATTTAATTTATCTCAAATTTTTTTTTTTTTTTTTTGGACATTTAGTTCGTTTTCAAACAAACTTATTATCGTTTAAAATAAACAAAAACAAATTATATGAATTTACTAAGTTATGTTTTAAATGCAAATATTAATTTGCTGACGTATATGACATAATAAAATTGTATTCGAACTATTCCATTTTTATTATATATATATATATATATATATATATATATATATATATATATATATATATATATATATATATATATATATATATATATATATATATATATATATATATATATATATATATATAAATATAAATATATATATATATATATATATATATATATATATATATATATATATATATATATATATATATATATATATATATATATATATATCAATTAAAAATTCATTTAAAAGCTTTAGATGCGCGTTTATGAGATTTTTCAAGTTCTAAGACTTAAAAAACACGTATTATAGACGTCTTAGTACGTATTTTAATTGGTTTTTTTAATTAAAAGCAATTGTCTGAGAATTCTATACAGCGTCTGGAAGAGATGTATTTAAATTGTCTTCATTTTCAGATATGTTTTAAAAAAACAATAAATGCTGGTAATTTTTTTTTTTTGAAATTTTTATATTTATTTTGGACTAATACCCAAATTATAATGGTTTAGAAGCAAGAGTTTTTATTTTTTATTTTTTATTTTTTTTAGTTTTTTGCCGTGTAAATATAAACAATATGTATGTTACGACAAAATATATAGATAGCAGAGGCGAGAAGAAGACTAATATATCTTATTGCCAAGCCTCTTGATAAATTTCATAAATATAAAGTTTAGTTTAAAAATAAGCATTTCCGTTAAATATATAAAATAAATTAGTAAAGTAATAAATAAAACATCTATTATTAAAAAGAAGCTCTATTAACTTAAAAATATCTACTAAAATATCTTCTAAAAGCACGGAAATATTTAACTTTTATTTATTGAAAAACCATGAATTAATGTATTTGTTTTTCCAAATATTAAACTTTAGAACACAAAACAAAAGTCTAAAAAATAAAAAGAATAACAACTCATATTAAACAACAAAGACATAAATAAATTTGAAAAGTTACTAACTGTATTTAACTCAATCTTTTCTAAAATTAATATACTTTTCATTTAATTGATAGATAAAGGGTATTTTATAAATAGTTTTAGAATAAAACATTTTTAAGTAATAACTAAGTTTAAACTCATTAACATTTAATAGTTTAAGTTCACTTGTATTTTATTCCATGACTTTGGGTGGAATGCAAGAAGCAAACTTGAGTCAATTTTACAAACACTGTTTTAATCTTAACTGTACAAAGTTTTACTTTTCCAATTGCGTTGTCAATTATATGAAATTTGTATGGATGTTTAAAAACCATGCCTTTCTTCCTCTAATTGAAATTGAAAACTCAGTTACCGCAAAATAACTTTTGGGTTGTATATAGGTGTTATTTAAATATCTAGTTAAGTATTTATTCCGATTTGTTACATTAGTAATTACAATTAGTCTTCTTTGATTCACGCTGCTGCTTGCATGAAAATAATTCACCACTATTTGTTTAAGCCGTATTTTGCTTCAACCACCTAAACAGCATTTTTAATAAAAACAATATTGACATGTTATTTTAAAAAGAATAAAAATGTCGGAAGCTTTAAAACTATTTTGCTGAACAAAAAATAGTGTTGTTATCAACTTCGACTAAATTGACTAAAAGTTGACTTGTCGAAAGTCAAAATTAGTCAACTTTGAAAAATCGAACTGTCGATATTTTTTTTTTTTTTTAATTCTATTTAAAGCCTCAAGAAGTCCTTACGGTCTTATCACAGAGCATCGCGGATAAACATTCAATTGGAAGTTCACGCCTCCTTCCTAACCGATGTCGCAAAATTTGCCCAGAAGTGGGGTTTGAACCAGGGATCCTTTGATTCAGAGGCAAATGCGCTACCACTGCGCCACGGCTGCTCAAATTGACTATAGATTTCTTACTAATAGACTAAAAGTTGTTTTAGCCGAGTAAAAATCTTAAAATCCTTATATCTTTTTATTCTATTTAGCCACTTCAATTTTTAACTTTTGTTTTGTCATTTAATAACAATACTATTATAACTATTGCATATTGCGTACTCTCTCTCTCTCTCTCTCTCTCTCTCTCTCTCTCTCTCTCTCTCTCTCTCTCTCTCTCTCTCTGATAACAATACTGTCATAAATATTGCATACTGTGTGCTCTGCATTTTGTGAACTCTCTTGCATAATGTTTTTTGTGTACTTTTATGTTTACGCTCTGCTTGTGATTTTTATAAATATTTTCATGATCGTACCAAGCTAGCACGGAGCTCAGGGGCAAAATTAAATACATGATCGTTCCAAGCTGGCACGGAGCTCAGGGGCAAAATTAAATACATGATCGTTCCAAGCTGGCACGGAGCTCAGGCAAAATTAAATAGTGAAACTCCAAAATCTAATTAACATCTATGCAATAACATTGTAAATATGGTTGTATAGACTTATTGTATATATGGTTATTGTATACAAGGTTAATAGACTTTAAGAGTATTTAAGTATTTAAGGCGCTTCCTAAATCATCGTGGTCTGGGGAAAAAATCATTGTCTCATTGTCGGAGTGGCCATGCTCTCATTTTGTTTTGCTCCATTATTTTTTAAATGATATGACATTACAAAATCGAATGTAAATATAAATTACTTTATTATTTTTATTGCAATTTATTTCGAAAAAAATATTTATCAGTTTACTTCAAAATTGTATTAGTCAACTTTAGTCGTCTTTAGAAAATAATATATCTTCTAAAGAAGACGACTAAAATGTCCATCATACAAAGTTTTAGGTAGTGTTGTTACAACTTTAAATAATAAGCTTATTTTTTAAAAGTCGTATGATGGACATTTTGTATGATGGACATTTTGTATGATGGACATTTTGTATGATAGACATTTTGTATGATGGACATTTTGTATAATGGACATTTTGTATGATGGACATTTTGTATGATAAATATTTTGTATGATGGACATTTTGTATGATGGACATTTTGTAAAATGGACATTTTGTATAATGGACATTTTGTATGATGGACATTTTGTATGATGGACATTTTGTATAATGGACATTTTGTATGATGGACATTTTTTATGATGGACATTTTGTATGATGGACATTTTGTATGATGGACATTTTGTATGATGGACATTTTGTATGATAGACATTTTGTATGATGGACATTTTGTATAATGGACATTTTGTATGATGGACATTTTGTATGATAAATATTTTGTATGATGGACATTTTGTATGATGGACATTTTGTAAAATGGACATTTTGTATAATGGACATTTTGTATGATGGACATTTTGTATGATGGACATTTTGTATAATGGACATTTTGTATGATGGACATTTTTTATGATGGACATTTTGTATGATGGACATTTTGTATGATGGACATTTTGTATGATGGGCATTTTGTATGATGGACATTTTGTATGATGGACATTTTGTATGATGGACATTTTGTATGATGGGCATTTTGTATGATGGACATTTTGTATGATGGACATTTTGTATGATGACATTTTGCGAATACTTAAATCTCTATAATACGGCACTAAAGTTTTTGTAAAATAAAAACGACAAAATGGTTATCATAATATTTATGTAGTTGTCGTCAGTTCAAATACTTATTATTTGAAATAAAACTGTCAATAACTTTTTTTTCATAATTTTATTTTAAACTTGTAGATTAATATTGAAAGCTGACAGTCAGACAATTTTACAATCTGAGCAAACTTTTTTTTAAGGCATTTTTCAATTTGATTTCTTTTTTTTTAGTTTAAACAAAAGAAAAAGTTTTGCGACAAAAAAATCTTTTGTTAAGTTTATAAAATTGTTCACAGGACCTGCGAACAATTTTATATGCTCTAAATCTTAAACCTGTTTAACAGGTTTAAGATTAAGAGCATCGCTCTAATTTTCAATAACGCGTCATTAATATTAATTTCCACCGCGTTTGAAGATGATACAAATCTTTTTTTAGCTAATGTGGCAATAAAATTTTGCTCCCTTCATTCTATATTGTATTGGAAACCTCCACGGAACCTCTTTCTCTCCCTAGTTGTGGCTGTCTAATTAGTTACGCCACTGTCGCCAATTTTATGGTTAAACAAATTCAACCATAAAGTTAAAAGAAATTGCAAAACTATTGATAATTTTACAGAATCAGGTTTGGTTAGAAACATTATATTTAAACAAGAAGTTGGAGGAATACCTTAATAAAATAACAAATAAATCAAACAAAAAATTAATAATATTAAAGAAAACTTAAAAAAACACTCTAAATGAAAAACGACTTTTAAAAAAATGAATGACAAAGCGTTTTGTAAGATATTATCAGTAGGATAATAAAAATAAATTGAAAAAGAAAACAAAAAGATATATTTAAATATTAAGATGATACAAAAAATATGAAATCACTTAAATAATAGCAAAAAATATAGATAATATAGATAGACGACAAGACAGACGACGACATAAGCAATTCACAAAAATACACAACAATATAAAAATACAAAGAAATACACAATTAGCAATGTACAAAAATCAATGCCTTCTTTACAGAGAGGCTTCTTGTTTACAAAGAGATCTCTTACAGAGAGGCTTCTTGATAAAGATGGCCTTAATAAAAATATATGAGAATATAAACAATGCTTACAATTTAATAAAACTCTAAAAACTATTGTTGTGGTTTATGTTTCAAAAACTTTATTTTTAGAGGTAGAGGAATCCGAGCATTTTCATATATTTTTTAATTTTCATATACTTTTTTAAATTTTTTTTCGTTTATTTAATGCATTTTTTTTTCCTTTATTCTTTTTATTTATAATGTCATATATTTTTATCTATTTTAC